GACTAAAATCTATAAATTTAATAAAGTAAAGGGTTCAAAATAAGTTTTTACTTACCTTCAAAAACCTAGTCGATAAGGTTTAGCTTCTGCTTCTACTGGCCCGGTTTTTACAACCTTCTTGGGTTAGGTTAAGGCAGTGGATCAAATTTTTTAGGCTCGTGGCCCAACATAAATGAATAAACCATGTCCATTGGACTTTCAGGACAGCCCTTCTTTTTCCTACCCTCGTCGCCCTCGCCCCTCTATTGGCGCCACTCAAACTAATCCCAAAAAGAACATCTCTCCGGTGAGTTGCCGGTCTTTCAGCGGAAACCTAAACCTCGTACCTGTTCAATGCTGCTCGTGTCGCCAGATTCGTTAACGATTGCTCTTCTTCTGTCAATGTAGCTTGCGGCAGAGGCAGGGTATATTACTAATATTAGCCTTCACCTGTGAGACGTTGATTAATTAAGCAATTTCTTTGATTCTTCATCTTCAGAGCGTAAACTATTACCGTAAGTTGCCTGCAACAATTTCAAGATTAAATTTTACCCATTCTTTTTTCAATTTTGGAGAATTACATAAGTTTGATTGTTTTTTGCATCATTGCTTGTTTTTTAATTTCTGTTATAAATGAAGAAGTTCTTTCAGGATATAATTGACAGGGTTAGGTTGAGGCTTAGTAGTCTTTATGATAGCATTAGGAGCTGTAGTAGTAGAAGTAGAGAAAAGAATGGAAGTCAAGTTCATAATTATTTCTGTTAATGGGTACCAGTTTGGTCGAGTTATTGTTGGTTGTCGTGACATCCGTAAATCTCTCCTTTTAAGAAGGTATATAAATTATTATGGTTAGGTTAAGCTTTTTTTTTTTTTTTTTTTTTAAGAAGGTATATAAATTATTATGGTTAGGTTAAGCTATTTGAGAAGGATATCGTACATAGATTCATGGAAGTCTGAAGTTCCATAATTTACCTGCGACTGCATAATGAAAGACCCACTAATTGTTTCATGTGCTTCTATCTGTTCCCCGCAAATGCAATGACTAGGAATAGTAAACAAAACAAAGACCGACTTTGAACTTTCATGGCAGCTCCGCTTTCACTCCCATTATAATAGGCGCTTTTGCCTCTCGATCTCATCTATAAAAAAATGGAAATTCCTCTCCGGCGATTCCTGGTCCTCTTTAATTTCTCTTTGTGCTTATTCTCAAATGTAGGCTTTGTTTGGAGTCTATGTCTTGAGGATCAGCATTCTTCACTGCTAAAACTTAAACAAACACTCATTTTCGACCCTGCTCCTTCATCCAAGCTCGTTTCCTGGGATTCATCAATCCATTGCTGTTCTTGG